CAACTTTTTATGGAGTTATTTGTATGTAAAGACGTGTACTGATGACCGAATGCTATACATTGAAGTGTTGGTATTCTTTGGAATTCTAGAATGCATTACTCTATTGCTTTTAAAGAAGTTTAAGTTAAAACATATTTTATTGATAAACGTGACAATTATGGGCACTTTGACCACTGGCATTCTTATTTTTAACCGGTTGCAAATAAAGGTGAGTTGCAAGAAGTATGTAGAATTCGATGTTAATATGATATACATAAAAACTAACACACAAATAAAAAAAACTTATCTAGCCATTGATAATAACAATAAGTCTTATTGATAAATATTATTGAATTAACTTTTATTAAGTAATTTAATTAGATGAATAGTTCGCGCAAAGTAACCTTTTTATAAAAATTTAATTTAAGATGCCAATAGACAATTATTATATTATTTATGCACTATTCCAACCATTTCTTTTAATTATTCTTTCACAAATAGATATTATTGTCCTTAATCAAGTTGTTAGCTTTATTGCTATATTTAATTATTAAAAGACGCATAATTATAACAATACAGTAATAAATTAAATTGACAAAGCGGTTCATAAACAAAGACATTAAGAAATTTTCTGTAAATACAAAACGTAGTAATTTGTCAGAGAAAATAGCGGATAGTTGATGTTTGCCCTGAACTGATGACATGGTAACAGCGAGTTTACGAAAATATAGTGTTATCTCTGTTTTTTAACGAGAATAAGAGGGATGTCAATACAAATATTATTGTAAGGGTCATTCGGCAATGGAAATACACGGTAACAAGAAAGATAAAATATTAGTTATTATATATTGTCCAGAGCTCCATTCCTGCGTCAGCACACATTCTTACAGTGTGTAAATAATTTTAATCGTATAGTCTATCCGTTTACTCAATGTAATAACTTGTTTATTTATTTTTAGGGCATAAATATTAGTTTCGTACATACCGCTGCATTGAGCACAGGCATGATGGGACACACTATACTTCTTAATATAACGCCACGTCTTTTTGCCATCAATGTCAGAGCTACAATCTTTGGCTGCTGTCACTCTTCTGGTCAACTCGGCACTATAATATGTTACTTGCTGTACCTACTAGATTATGATGACCATAAATCACTAATATTCGTTCAAATCGGAGCAACTTTTATGTTAACAGCACTATGCTATGTGATTCCTGACGTTGATGGAAGAGAACTTCCTGATATTGTTGAAGATATGGACTACTTTTCTGAGTAAGCTATTTGCTACGTTTTTTTAACACACATTAACAAATATGAAAAAAATCTGTTATCTTAATATATTTAGTCGACATTAAAATTGCAGTTACAGTCATCTTAGTTGTTGTTTCGCAAAAATTATGTTATCGTATCTTTGAATATTGTTATTTTAACAACTATTTTTAAGCATTTTAATGGGAAACATAACATCATAAATATAACAAATATATTTTCCCTTAAATTAGCACAAGGCCATCGAGCGAATTAGTGAATGTAACCCATACTACGCAATCAAGTAAACCTCTGTATCAATTACAAATAATTGAACAATTTTTAACGTTTACTTTCATAAACTGATATAATTAAAACAAGAGTTGCAGTATTTATGGAACATTGCAGCAATTAAATGTGTACATTCCGAACTAATTACGCAAAACATGTTAAATATATACAATTACATTTCAAACAATCCAACCTAAATATGACAAGGTTTCCACAAAAAAACTCACCTTTAAAATATTTCAGTGCCTGAGAGAAATCCCTTCGCAACGACCTACGGATTTATTTATCTTGCCCAACTGTCTTATTTTCCTGTATTATTGTTGAAACTTAGACTCACTGAAATTTCATGGCAAATTATATTTATTTTTGATGTATCTTATGTTCAACAGATTATCCAAACCGCTACGCTGGGTGACACAAAAGACGAATTCGCCATCACAAGAGGAGGTGGAAATGAGGATATATTCATTCGGCAGTACAGTCAGAAATTCATCGATTAACAGTCATTCTGCAGAAAGAATACCAGCTCGGGCAATCGGTTTTAAGAATTTATGGCAATCTCTTGTTTCGTCCGTACGGCACGAATTGCGGTGAAAAAACTGACAGGCGTTTACAATAAACCATTTCAAAGAGAATGCTTCATGTGTTTTTATCAGCTTAAAATGTAATTGAATTAGTAAGATTTTAAATGCGACTTACACAAATATGATCATTTGCTACATGAAAATATAAAGGTGCTATAAGTATGAAATGAAGTTATACTATTATAAGGTAGACTTGTTTGGACACAATAAATCATGTAAATTTAACCCAAATATATTTTTTACCGTTATGTAATATCTCAGTCTGGCAAGGATAATTTGAAACATAACAAGTTCATTTATTTGTTTTGAATCTGTTATGCAAGAGACACAATCATCATAAAGCGAAACGGACGAACCAATAAAAGCTCCAAGGCCATAACAACCTTATCAAATCGCAACATTAGCTTATCGACAACATAACCAAGCTATAGAAATAAAACCGATAACAAATCAAACACTAATAATTAAAAAAATACGGACTATATTAACATAGTTTAGATCCTAGATTTTAAATCCAATGCGCCTGTTGCTCAATATTGCTTTTCTTAACAAATGTGCCACCCAATTGCTTATACGATTTAAATTCTTAAAAACAAATAATTACTTGACGGTGCGTAAAAAGAATTTGGACCAAATTCATCGTTGTACTCTTCCCTAAAAACGTGATTGCGTGTCTCGTGATTTCAGTTCTTGTTTTTTTTTTTTCTGATTGACACGGAAATGACCAGGACTTCTCGAAAGGAGGTTAGTACAGATAATTATTTTAAAGGGCTATCGTTTTGTTGTGGTTTATTTATACTTTTTATCAAACAAAGGAGAACATTAACTGGTTCTTCATAAAGAAATGCTAGCAGTGTAAATTTATATTTTATTATTAGACCTATTATCGGACAATCGTTGTGCAGACCAATGTCCTTACTAACTTTTGCATGATGTCCAAATCAATTGTTTACAAGATTTGAATACATACATTCAAATAACAATTAAAGTTTAAATTTGGAATTATTTGCAAGAACAGAAAAGTTTAAGTAGTGAAGTAAAGATAGGGTTTAAAGGCATAAAAAATAAAATAACGAATACGTACTAATGTTTATTGATATGACATCTGCACCTTGGTTCATAATTTTTATTAAATCATTTTATAACCAACTTTTTTAGATACAATTAGAATAGATTTAAACAAAAAAGCTATTTCGAGCCAAATAGTAATTTTCGAAAATTTCTTTTTTGTAAAGATTTTTCAAAAGAGCATACATTAAATGTACTCTAAAAGGTAGTTTCTATTTAATTAATTCTATGTTTAAAAAACTCTTTGTCATTGAACAATTCTATTTGTAGTTTTAAACAACAAATTGGTTAACTTTTTTTATATTTCTAATGCTCAATAGAATTCAACATAGTAAAAAAAGGCATACATTCTTTTACATAATACATATTAACTTTTTTTAAAAACTTAAAAAGTAATTAAATACACATTTTGTGTAATGTTAATAATAAAGGAAAAATAATTTTACTATACTAATTAGCACCTAGAAGTTGCTTAAAAAACAATCAAATTTCATGTAAAATGTCCTCAACACGTTCAATACCATTGACTCAACTGGCGAGTTTACTTTGAAAAATCATCGTGGGCATGGAAAGTGTTAAAAAAAAGTTCATCCAACCATAAAAAGTCATGTACACTATAGTCATGTATTATACTAGATCTAGACATCTAGGTAATCATAAAGGCATTTGTCTAAAGTGCGAGATTGTAAGAGGCGTAAAATGCCGTATAGAAATTGACAAATAAAAAACTATAATTACAAATTATCGAAATTAACTTATAAATAAAGGAACAGTTGACATCGAGGGTATATAAAATGCGTGCGAAACCGCGGGTAATGGCTGTGAATTAAATTTCATTGCATTCTAGTTGTATGCACCATGCAATTAAAACATTTAATACCAATGATTATTTATCACAGCTGTTTTTGACGATATATCACTTGCATTTGCATTCTTTTTAATTAGTAATGTAGTACTAACATCGATTTAATTTATTTTCTAAAAAAAATTGTTTTATTTCTTTTTTTAAACGTTGCACTACAAAATCTTTGTTTACCTAATTATTATTTTAAGATTAATAATCACCATTGTCAGGTTGCATTCTTTTAGGTATAATAGTAGGAATTATTATTTAATTATGCTATACATACAAAAATAATAGGAGCTATATTAATATGTTGTTAACAAAATATTTTTAGTCTGTTATATGTATTAGATACATAATTATATTCAAATTTAATTGACGTATAACATTATAAAATATGATGAGACGAACTCATACTGTCAGTTTTTTCGGATAGAGTAATATATATAAAATTGAATTTATCATGTTCAATATATTATTTTATTTCTTTTTAACTAAAGCAATGAATATAATCAATTTATAAATATATTATAAGCAACATTGATAATGTCTCGTTCTGTTGAAACGCATGGAATCATAACCAATCGCAAAACGTGACTTTGACGTCAATGAAACTCGGTCGTTTTGTTATTAGTTATAAGAATAATAGAATAAACAATATATGCTAAGCATTTTGCGAAGTAAGACATTGTAACAGTATTCACCTACAGCAATAATTCAAACATGGTTTCCAATTTCAAAACCCTAATGTTACTAAGTCGGTCTTACCCAAGTATTACACGTGTAAAAGAAATATGAATCTTATAGTAAATGCTTACAATAAGCCATCATAGGGGCTAGCACGCAATATTCGTGAAAAAGTTTTTGTAACGTTACCAACAAAATGTGTATTAAAATTGTTAATTGTAAAGTGTATCAACAAATCTCATATAAATTTTTATATATTTCGTCGATGACCTTACCAAAGCTTCGCAAATATCAATGCGAGGGATAACATACACGGACCATTTTATGTAACGCTGACCATTATTGGTGCCGATTTCTTAAAGCAAGCCTTTAGTTGCGATAGGATAATTATATTGACAAATGGATTTTATCTTGCATGCCACAAGAGGCAACAAAGAAATCCAAAAGCATTTCAGTACAGTAACTGTATGATAAAGGAAAAATACTGCACAATATTTATTATTGCAATATCATTAACTACAGTAGGTTAAGAAAGTGTAAACAAAGTAGAAAGTTATTTTTTATACATGTTTTTATACTATTGGGTCACAATTGAGGTAAGATAAGGCCTGTGAATTAGAAACGTTATGTTACGTTACGATGCTGTTGATAGCCAGTGTTCTAGCTAGATCTAGGGGGGCTACTACTAAAAATTCATTTTTTATTTCAAATGGAACGTATCATGTCATGTTATCAACATTTGCTCCAATTTGTTAATAAAAAACTGTCAAGAAATTTATTAATAATGTAAACAATTAGAAAGCATTTTTGTTTTAAAATTTTTGTATTCGGGTAAGGGGGAATAGCTGATCCCTCTTGCCCCTTATTGTCGACGCCCATGTTATGTTACATTAGCCCTCATTGTAAATTATTTCAACGAACATTCCGAATGAAAATTTACAAAATAATTTGTTTCTTTGTACTTAGTAGCATTGTACGCTTTTTCAATTTCCAACAAGACATTATCTCTTACTTTGTCAAATAATCGGCCAAGGAAAGTATTTAATACGCTATAGTTTTCTTAAACCAGTGGCAAATTTTAATAGTATATTTACGCAAACAAACCTCTCTTTAATAATAACAATAATATGAGATTATGAAAAGCAAAGCGAATCGCAATCGCTACTTATATTGCGTTGCTCAAAAGTGGAAAAAAACATATATTTGATAACTTTTTAAACACAAAACGACGTATTTGTGCTTTGATTTGGGTTGTATTGACATAGATTAAACATTAATATAGCAGATATGCTTTGACCAGCATTCGGCCATGAGTGATTTATTCATATCTATATTCTATTCTATACGGAAGTTATTATAATAACAAACAGAGATAAGATAAAATAGTTTTAGTGTAAACATGTTTATCTAGGTCACCTTGAGACAAAGTAAATCCAGTCATTAAAGAGAATTACTTTTAAGAGATATATTAATCGATTACAATTTCAATTAAAATCTATTACACACAGCCATATTTTCTTTGAATTTTTATACCAAATGACTTGTCTAACGTGGGAATGGGTGTAATAATGATAGAGAAAAATTAAAATACTTCAGAATAGGAACAGTATAAAATTTTGTAAACACAAAGTGTTGTAAAAACAAGCATGGTAAAAATTAAGGCGCTGTCAGAAGAGTCCAAAAACGCGAAATAGTAAAAGAAGAAAAAAGAATGCAATAAAAATTGATTGAGTAAAATTTGAATATAAAAGTTACTATATTTAACTGTTTCGTTCATATAGTAATTTGTTTGTTGTTGCCTTGTTCTTTTTGTTTACAAAATTTTGCATATTTAAAATAGCGTTAAGACTATATATCCGACTTCAGAAATCTACAGATGCGATGGATCAAAACGTAATCAATTGTTGGAATTAAATATTTTTATAATCTAACCTAACACATACATAAATAAATGTAGTTATACAAAATATAAATATTATAATTTGAGATTCGAATGATTGCAGTAGTAATTAATACATAATAAATAATTAATATTTATAAATAACATTTAAATAAACCTAAATTAGGAACTTGCATAGGTAACTGTTTTAAACAAACATTGTCAAAAAGGAAAATACAAACAAAATGCAGTAATATAGGCAGTATCTCTCTTCGCTTACGATATAATAAAAGCCTTGCATCCAATCCACTATCAAACACATTTTAAAGTCTTCCATTTCATGTCAAATTTAAACTGTTCAAAATTTTGTATTAGAAATTAAATGTTATAAGGCCGTTTGGTGATTTATCTTGCCATTTGAGCTCGAGATTGATGTGGGTAGTGTTTCTGAAACGTAAAAAAGCATTGATTAGTTAATATTTTGTTGTGTAAAAAAAGTAGTAGATACATCAAATTTTCATTTTATTTTTTATTTACGTTTTCGTATCTTTTAATTCATAAAATTTTATTTTTACTGAGCTTAACTTAAATGTTTAATATTAGGACTTAAACAGTAAAATGGAATGTGTTGCTTTGTTTCTATCGTGCAATACATATTGTTCACAGTATAATTCAATAGAAGTCTGTTTTGAAACTCGTCGAATACACTAACGCCTGACGCCAACAATAATGTTTTAAAAAATCAAAATTATAAATATAATTATTACCGTTACATGCATTTTTAAGGTGTGTTGGATTAGAGATTGGTTAAGCATTTATACTAGGAAACATGTATAATAACATTATACAGGTAAACTTGGATAAGAGTGAGACCAAGAGACGATACTTTTCTAACTTATAGAGGTTTCTCTTTTACACGAGTTTCTCGCTTATGGAGGTCGTCCGTCGGGACCGGACAATGACTCCCGCTCATAGAGGTTTCTCGCTTATCCAAATTCGACTGCAATATAGTCATTTTTACTATGTGAATTCTTGTTGTTTATTTGAAGTTTGAGGTAAAGCTCCATATTATTTAAATGTTAAGTACTTAAACTTACCAGTATCTATAGGAGGTGAGTATGTATGTCCGTTTGCATTAGATTCAGGTCGGCTTGAATTACGTCGTTGGTAATGAACGCTGAACATCACGGTAGCGCCGACTAAAGGCGAAATTCCGGCTAGGACGAATGGAATTTTATAAGACTTCGTTATACTTCGAATGTAGCCCGCAATGGGAGGTCCCACAGACAAAGGCGGCGCAGCCAAGCCTAGCATACAACCGATCGCTTGAGCTGCATGTGTTGCGCCACACAGTTCAAATGCTATCGGACCTATCAATGCAATGAACGCACCGTCAAACAAGCCCATACCTAACGAAATAACTACTAATAGAGTAAATGATTTCACGAACGGTAAAATAATTGTAAGTGCTCCGATCACATAAAATGAGATCTGCTGCAGTAAAATTCTATTGATTCCGCGCTTATCCGCCAAAAATCCAAAAGTCAAGCGACCTAGCCCTGATGTAATCGCCAAACATTGCAAAGGAAGATTATCATTGACATCTGTAAATGTCTCTTCTATGAATTTCTTTATGTGAACGTACGGCACGAAATAACCAAACAACGCTACTGGCATCGATAGAGCCCATAGTCTGTATTTACTATTCTTCCAAATTTGCACGGTTACTATAGTTTTTAATAAAGATTTGACACTTTCATGTTTGTGAGAAGGTGTTTGTATTATCATTAATGGAGTTGGTTTGAATAGTAAACTGCAAAGCATAATGCCAACTGTGAAGAAGGCTAGAACTCTGAACATCCATTCTAAGCCGTGGTACTTTATGATATATTCCAATAATGAAGGCATTATTACTGTAAACACCGAGCTTCCTATCGTCACTATCCCATTAACGAGTCCTAAGTATTTCTTGAAATAGTGACCGAGGATAGCTAGGGATGGCGTGTATGCTAGTGATGCACCTAAACCGTACATCAAGCCATACGTGAAGTAGAGCGCATTGACTTCGTTCACAACGAATGATGATAAAAGTAATCCTGCTGTAGCGATGCTGCCGCCTAGGAGTGCAGTCGCCCGCAAACCAAGAAACGCAGTTAGAAGACCTGACAGCGGAGACAGGAAAAATGTCGTACCCATTGTGAGCGCGCCCACCAAAGCTGGAACAAAGATAATATATTAATTATTTTTATTAGCTTTATTTTATTTTAATCTTTTTACTTTGTAAATATATTTTTTCCTTTATTCAAATTGTACATAAAGAAAATGTTAGATATAGTAAAAACAATATTGAAATACCAATTAATCGTAAAAGAGACCTATTACTTTAAGTATAGACAGACAAGATTAACTGAATCTGTGGGCGTAAGTCAAACTAAATTATGATTGCTCACTAGCGCTACTCTGTCAATGTCAAAAAGTGTCACAAGATCTCCTTTGTACTGTAGCTGTCAGGGGTTTTTTTTTTCTTTTAAGTTATTTTCTATGTCTGAGTAGGTTTCATATATGTTTTGACAGAACCAACCGCGATAGCAGCGCCTCTCTCATCTTGAAAGTTGAAATTGGTTAAGGTCGTCCCAACAAAAGCGCTTTAGAAAAATTGCTGGTATTAGGGGCAATACAAACTTATATAGAACTTAAAGTCTTTAAATTCACTGACTCAAGTTATGAATGGAATTACAGCTTATTTTCGCTTTATCCTAAATGCAATACTAAACTGGTTATATTATACTAGAAGGTGAAGAATATGAAAAGACCGAGGTCAAGTTTCCACGAAAGTTATTTAAATGCAAAGTTTGTCGATTCGTCAAACAAGTATCGTTTACTATAGACAGTTATTCAATATGACGCAACGATTACGTGTAAACTCTAGAAAAGATTTCATCATGCTTTTACCGCTTTATTTTTACTAGTTGGGAATTTGAGTAAAATGAACTCGCTACTCTATAGTGAGCTAGACAAGAGTAGAAATAGGGTTACCTCGACATCCTTTTAATAAAAAGACTACTTAATCTATACGATATACTGAGCGAACGAGATTGTCGAGACAATGTCAATTTTCCTGCTAAAAGATTGTGCGATTCCAGGACAAGTTAACGGAGAAACGTAATGTAAATTACCGGAATAAGCTATATAGACGTTTACCTAGTTAGGCCGAGTAAAATGCTAAATTCGTAGCACTCACATAAATGACAAGTGGCACACAATGTCTGTTAATCTAATCGGGTCAGTACGCTCACGAGATTCGTCTTCGTATTATTAACTGGCGGTTTATCATACATTGAATATCTATACACTGAACTATATACAACATTGTACTTTGATTGTCATTATTATATCAGTTTGCAGAATGTGACTTGATAACCTAATAACATAAAAAAATATATGCAAGGAAAGTATAAATCATAACAATGTAGCGAAGTACAAACATCTACCAATGTAGTCACAAAGTATCAGTTTTTTGCATTTGCTTTGAGATTATAAATATACCGTACTTAAAATTTTTACTATATTGCTCAATCGAATAACTTTAACAATGATTGATTGGATCCTAAAAAAAGGACTTGTTTTATTCACAAAAATGCTAGTCGTACATAACAGCTGATAAAACTATTATATATAAATATTGTCATGATAATCTGCGCAAAAACAGAATTGCGAAGAACGAACTCTTAAAATTTGTGTTTTTCACTGCGTAGATATATTGTCTTGAATTTTATTGTATTAACGGCGCGATAGGTTTCAAATAATAATAAAACATATGATAATCAACTCAAGTTTGATTCAACGTATAGATAAAACTGATATATTGTGACAAATCATCTGATAAGAATTCGTAAATAGTGCGTAGTATTTATCACGACAAATAACTTACACGATTTAGAATCCGTACTGGAATTTGTTTAAAAATAATAATATAAATAACACTATGACGATACAATGCACCGATGTAGAGTTTGTATAAGAAACGTCAAATGATTGAGAAACTATGTTTCAACAACATAGATAACCCTTTTAAAAAAGAAAAACAAAGTTTTCTTGCGTTGTTTATGACGCAAATAGGAAAGCATTAAATCGCAACGACAAAATTAATAATTAATTTACAATTATGGTAATGACATAATTTTACGTAATTCTGTATTTACTATTTTAATCTGTAAAACTTTTTCTACGAAAATCTTTACTATTAAAATCTTTTTTTTTAACATTATTAAAGTCCCGCGTCTAAAATTTACGATTCCGCTTCTAGATATTTCGAATTCTCGCTTATACATGTTTAGGGGCTGAAATTCAAGGTCAACCTGCTTTATCGCTTATCCGGCTCTACTGCAAATAAATAAATAAACAACGGCTCTTAGTCTAGTCCGTTTTTCTATAGTCAAAGTCACTATTCAAGTATATAGTATTCATATATAAAAAGTTTCGTCAACGTCTAATAGAAACAATCAAATGGAATAGTAACAATGATATCGTAAGTTGATGCTTCAAATAGTAGCAATTATTTTGCGTCTACTACTATTGATGCAATCAGACGTCCTTCGTCGCGATCGACCGCAGAGCGCGCGACGTCTGGCGCCAGCAGATCAAATAACAATTATTGTTAAGCCTACATCATCTATTTTTAGCATGGTTAGCTAGTTATAATGAGCTTTCTATTTGCGGCATCATAGTCTATCGCTAAATAAAATTAATCTCGTTTCTAATCTTCTGCAGATTCAGTTATTAAAACATAGCAGCAGAGAATTATTAGGGGGTAAAGCGATTATATTTAAAGTATTTGTTTTAGAGGGGAGTTTTGGTCCTTCTTGCTATTAATTATTTTCGTCAGGTATAGAAGACTTGACACTAACTTTAATACAATAAGGATTTAATATTGTGGAATTTAATACATCCTATATGAAATGAATTGTTTCATGCAATCATATATTGGTCAACACCATCACGCCCACGTAACATTATATTTAGTCAGTCGCGCGCTTGACTCACGTTTCAGTGTGACAACCTCACGTTCCTTCATTCACGATAACCTCATATGTCAATACAAATATTTAACATTTAAATAGTTTATTACTTGATAACTAATTAAATGACCATAATCAGAGCAGGTCAATGTAGTTTTCCTTCATTTTATTGACAGCACAATAAATCTTTGTTTCCATTATTTCTCTTTTATTAAATTCTATTAAGGCGACACAATTATTTACGGTTCCTACAAGATCCTAATTATTAATTTTGTGTATTACAAAAAAATACGAAGATTGGAATTAATTTAATATTTTACTTGGATAATTTTATTGGTCAACGCTTTTTTACCGAGACCCAGTGGCAGTTACAACAGCGCGAGTTAAAATTGAGGATCCAAACTTTAAAAAATGTAACAGTAGATACATCACTGAAACCAGTTAAATATGCAAAAGGGACTATGAGAAAAAGTTTTTGAATCTCTTCAATTGCCCTTTTGAGCAACTACAAACGCGACTAATTTGGGCCAAAAATTGCGATCACTTGGTATCACTAAAACAATCATGAGACTGCTGTTGACAGACATGCACACAACTAAAGAGTTACGTTGTTAAATATACAGGCACCGTCTTTAAAGACAGGAGAGAAGGTACACTCAAAAATGAACATTTCCCTTACGGCTTCCAGCAATTAAAAAACGAAATGCTATACTCTACTTCACGACTGTCTTCTGTAAAGTGGTATTTCTTAGGTCGACGTGGGCCAATCGGCAACAAATGTTGATTAGCGGGCTCTACCAAAGTGCGCTATGCCACAAAGATAGTTGATTGTCCATGGATATGGATGTTTAATTATGATCGCCGTTCGATGCTAAGGACCAAAAATATTGATGGACAAAAAGTTCTAATGCGCGTTTGCTCTCTTGTAGGTACATTCCTATCTAAATAACGGGTTTTGGCAACTGTAAAATATAAGTAGGCCCCTGCTAATGAAACCTTAACTAAATTTATCGCGCCATAGTTTGCAAATATACCGGACACGTGAATTTAATTCATTTGTATATTAAAATATGAACTCAATAAATACAACCACATATATACTTGTCTGCTGATTGTTATCTTACATATTTTTAATTATGATGAAACACTATTAAATATTAATAATACCTACCTACTACGACAAGGATTATACAATTCAATTAAGTCAATCACTTATTTTTTTATTAGGTTTATGCACCTACATAATTGTGTAAGCTCTAAAATGTATTGTATTATTTCTATTTTTATTTTTCACTTAGTTTTAAGGTTATTAATAATAAGAAACATAACATTAACTTACATGCTTTACTCTCCGAATTTGGCACATTTTCGTTTTCAAGTCGATTTTGAAGTACAGTATAAATTACACTATAAGAATTTATAACTCCGAATAATAGTCCATTGGTCAAAAATGATCCAAGCACAATCAAATAGGCTCTGAAACCACCATCAGGAGGGCCTTGTAAATCCTCATGCCGTTTCGGACTCGTGTCTGTCCCAATATTTAAAACATTATTCTTGTTTATACCCAATAAATCAGTGTTTTCTTTAGGTTCTATCTCCATATTTGTTGTATGTTGATAAATAAATGTTCATCAATTCAATCGATGGTAGTTACTACAGAACGCACGAGGTTAGTTTTGTGTGTAATATTAGACAGTATTGCATTTTTGCACAAAAAACAATTGCCGACTTATTTAACGCGCGTTTAATCTAACACTGTTTTTAAAACAATTATTTTTCACTTCATAAGAAACAAAATAAAGGCACAATATTTTTTTAATCTTATTTTTGCAGCGTACGGTGCCGTACACAACCTTCTAACACGGACACATCAATCGCACTGCGTACCTGCGTACGTATTGCATTCGTCTCCGTCTGGTCTAGTCTTCGGTCTGCGTTAGCCTACGTTAATAACTAGAAATAATTGAACTAACTTCGAATATCTAAATGCGAAACGTGTTCTTTACGGCGCTATGCTTTTGGTAGTTGTGAATGGTAAATACGATCAAAATACGATACACGTTTAATATTCACAATATTGAAAGTATGTAGCTAAAAATACACGGAGAAAAACAGTTCAAAAAATATCAACAATATCATGGTAAATTAGGTAATTGTCCACGTCACACATAAATCTGTAAATTTATGTTCATGATCTAAGTTTATCTTTTATTAGCATTTGCCCGTGACTTAGTCCGTGCGGGACACCATATGTCAGCCAGGGAGTGTGGCTTACAGCAGTGAAAGAATTTTTCAAATCAGTTCAGTAGTTTCGGAGCCTGTTCAATGCCAAGAAACCATCAAATATTTCCTCTTTAGAATATTGGTATAGATTTCTCTCGGGTTCTCAACTAAGTGTGACAAGATCAAGGGTAGGGTTAAGGATCTTAATAATCATGAGTTTAGAGAATTATTAGAGAATACCATCCATTGCCCACATAACCAGTTAAAATTATGATCAAGGCCAAGGCCTGTTGTAGGTTTCTCAGAGAGCTGAAGATAGAGGTTCGCTCTATTTTGGCGTTTTATTTTTTGGTAATTCTGAGAAGGAAGTGGGCCAAAAGGATGGTTGACGACAGGTAGGAGGGCCGCAAAAATAAATCAAATCAATAACAAATAAAAAATTTAATATTTTCCAAAACACCATAATATTAGTTTAATTTCTTCCATTTTAATAAATTAGTTTAATTTATTCTTTTTTACTTCACTGACTAGCAGCTTTATTGAAGGCATTTCTTCCTTTAGTTTATCTTCAGTTTGTTCTTTGTCCTCGCCTTCACTAGCTGTCAAATATTTGGACACTAAATCTGAAATGTATTCAATAATTTATTATTTATATTATAAATACTACACAGCAACTAAAAGTGTCTTTTTTGATTAGCTAAATATTAATTAATATATAACAGAGCTAAAAAAAACTAAAATTTGAATAATTAACGTAATTTCAACTAATTGCTGACAAACAAACCATCAAAACTGGTTTGTAATATTGTACAAATTATTTGATTTTAATAAGATGTAAAATATGTACTCTAGTATTTATGCAAAGAGAAACTTCTTTCTTTTAAGAATAAAAATAAATTAAAAATAATTTAATAAGATTACCATGATATTGTTGTATTCTTTCAAAATCTTCGTCTTTGAGATGTGCTTTCAAGAAAAGTATAATTAATGGTACTTGACGCCCAGACGCGTGAAGCATATTCTGTGTTACAATTGTAAACATTGCCAACACAGCCAAATGCAACACTAACGCTGGGTCATTACAATTTTCAAGCTCGGCAATTAATTTTTCCCTATGATTTTGTACTAAAAGCCTGTAAAAATCAGAAATGATTAAAATACAGTAATAAACATACAAATAACATGCATTGGAAAAGAAGACGTACTTATCCTTCTTTTTGTCCACTTTCTTTAAGATCATGCCACATTCTGATAAACAGACATCAACGGCTTGATAAAATAATTCCATATTCTGATCTACCAAAGTGGCATTTAAAGCTTTCAACGGCTTCATATATTCTTCAGACAGATCATTGATGATTTTATTTCTTTGTTCAACAGTAAGAACATCACCTTTGAAAGACAAATTGCATTGATTCGCTGCATATTTACAAAATTCAGATAAAGTATCACCACCAAATGTTTTCAACAAGTATTTTATATACTGTGTTTGCTGATCAGAAGGTAACATTTTTAGTCCCTTTTCATATAATTTAATGTCATTAACTAGGACATTAATTCTATCTTGTGCTGATGAATGTGTTTGCTTTCTATTTTGGTTAGCATCTTGAAGTAATTTATCAGCCATTTCCTTTGCTATGGCTAATGCTGTTTGATTTAAGGATCTGCAATATAATTAGTAGTAATATAATTAGATGTATTGACTAACTTACAAAATACAAACACCTATTTTACCATTCTATATAATTTGGTTCTAACTAGTAGGAGTGAAAATAGACTATGTCTAAAGTAATGCACTTTTTTTCTCTTTAAACTGTAGTAAAACTGTTTTTCAGCATTACTGTACATTATTGTACTAATCAAAAAAAATATCTAAGTATATTTTATTGAAAAAAAGAAAAAAAATTACACACCCTTGTAGATATTCAGCAATTTGATTTGTTAAATCATCAAGACCTTCATTTTCCAATGATTCTTTTATAATTTCTTCAATATTATCAACTGACACAATTTCAAGATGAGTGGGAGCTTTTTTGCTGGCGTTTGATGCTTCATCGGAATCTGAATCATGTGTAACTTGTTTGGATCTCTGATGTTTCTTTACAGCCTTTGTTTTAGTTTCTCGTCCCTGAGTGCCTCCACCACCTTTCCCAGTTGCAGCTTTTCTTCTCCTTTCTTCACGTCTTTCAGCTTTATGGTCAACATGAGCTGGGGATGACAAATCTGCTGTTTTAGCTAATTGCTTCTCTATATAAAACTGTTGGTATTTTTGCGATTTCACAACTTCTTCTGCCAACTTCTGTACCATAGGCATGCAAGAATTTTTCATGTTCTCTATGAAACTGTTGCTGAAAACTGTAAAAATTTCAGTCGATTAGTAAAATATTACAGATTGATTTGCAAGAGTAAATTCATATATTATTTGAGTGAAATAAACTTAATATGGAATGGCAAACACTGACTGGTGAAAAGTGGGCCATAACCGCGTAATAATACCAGTCCCACTCACCCAAAGAAAGGCTCCTGATGAGGTTGAAACCAGATATACGTGGGTTCGCCATTTCATATTTAATTTATAATAATATCTCTCAAAACTGTAATAGAATGACATGCAATAAAAATTGTTGTATTGATTATTAAAAATTACCTGTGTTATCAAAAAGAATAGTAGACTTTGCACTGGTCTTAAGTAATGTCTCTATGATATTTTCAATATCTGCATCAGATAACACTGATGGTAACAAAGACACAACATCTAAATAGCTCTTTGATGCTACACATTCCTCCAAAGCCGTCTCCAATTGTTGTTTGATTTGAAGACCAATTACACAACTACCAAGAAATGCTAAATCTTCATTTGCTAAAATTCTTTTAACATAACCTTTTGGATCTGAAATACCTAAACGTGTCAGGGCATCATATTCAAGATAATTATTTTGTTTGTAAAAGCTCATGACCCATTCATTTTGTGATTTGGTGTAACATGTTGGTACGTAAAGTGCACCCGTTTGACGTCCTGTTAGTACACCTGGTGCATGTATTTCATCAAATAATGACAGGAATAATCTTTCAGGCAAGTTGCAGTGACTCACAATCACACTTATTGGAGTAGGTTTTAATAAACCCATTAAAGCACCTCGGATCTTAGCTTTTAATCTAGTTATATACTGTTCCGTATAAAAGTTTCTTGGCTCTGATGGGTCCTGCCTTCCTACAATTATTTTACCCAAATATCGTTCCAATATATTATGTTGTAAAAATTCTGCAGGAAGATCATATTGCAATGTTAATTCACCAACAGAAATATGACCTTGTAATTGAAGTTTTTCATTAATTTCTTGAGCAATCTTTTCCAAAAAGTAATGAGCTATTAAATAACCTGACACCAATTGAACTTCTTTGCCTTTTATAATTTCACCAATATTGGCATTTATTTGACTTAGATCAACATTTAGGTCTTTAGCTAGATCAACAGTATTTATGCGTCCACCATGTACATAAAGTTCATCCTTAATTTCTTTTACAAGCTGTTGAGGAGTTAAATACTCTTTGCCATCTGTTGTGAAGATCACATCAATTAACTTAAGTTCTATAAGCTTTGTAACAATTTCAATGCAATTTCTTTCTGATAACCTGAATTAACAGACAGATTTAATAATTTTATATATTCATTTAATCTAAGGACACAGATACAAAGATAAAATACTTGTACAGGTGACCTTAACTCTGAGTTTTGCAATAGTCCAACTTTCGACAAGGAAAGTTATGTGTACAGATATGAAGAACAGAAATGTATATTTGATTAGTGATTTGAAACTACGATATTGATGTATTTCAAGTTATAAGTTACCTCTGAGATGTCGAACTTAATTGAGCCTTTTGGAAATCCGCTGCAAGCCTTTTAATTTCATCCCAATCAGTTGAGGGTGCCATATCGGACACTGAAAAAGTTAGTAAAGCTTGTATCGACGGCGCCTATCACAAATACTTTACCATTTGTACTTACCAAGAGCTTACCTTTATTTAGCTCTATTAAAAAAAATCGTATCTAAGTATAATAAGTGAAAGTTCAAGAATGTCAATGTCAACGTCATCTAATTTAACACGTTTACATCTGTCACGACAAGACAACGACACATATGATACGTCAATAAAAGTATAGAGTAAACTGGAGTAAACTTTATTAATATTTCAATTCAATACTACGATTAAGAAATGTAATAGAAATTATTTAAAAAAAGGAAACTTAGTCCCCGCCTGAGATATGGCACATGAATTTTTACCTTTTTTCACATTTATTATTAAACAGCACATCTGCAAATCATGATAAAAGAAAAAAAAGACCAACATTGTCTTTTCTTAAATACACCTAAAACT